CCCCAAAACCCCAAAACCCCAAAACCCCAAAACCCCAAAACCCCTTAACTTCAATTTTAGATTGAACCATTATTTTTAGTACAGCAACGCTTTGTGAGGGATGGAAGACAACAAGTTCAGATTCGACTGAATCGCTGTAATCTCCTCTGAGGAGTACACATTGTTTCTGACATTCAGGATTTTCAAGTTGTGCACCTCCTTTAAGGTCTTCATCAGCTCTTGGAGAGCTTTGAGGGAAATAGAATTGTCACTTACATCCAAGTCTCAAATGAATTCATTTTCTTTTAATGCTTTGACGAGCTCATAGCATGCTCCATTACCGATCTCATTAGAAGAGAGCTGTAAGCGGAGTAAAGAGGTGTTTTTAGCAAGACCTAGAGCGATGTATTCTCCGCTCTCATCACAGAGAGCATTGTGCGAGAGATTCAATTCCTTGAGGCTTTCATTGCATGCTAGAGCTTTGCCGATCGCTGAAGCACCCTGTTTCCCAAGGAAATTATTGTTTAAAAATAAACGTTCAAGTTTTGGGAGATAAGTTAGAATTTCTCCAAGGACTTCAAATCCATCGCTATCTGAGATCAGATTTCCTTCAAGACCAAGGATTGTGAGGTTAGTCTTGTTCTTTAGACATTTGGAAATAGCTACTAGACCTTCATTTTTCATCGAGTTTGCACTTAAATAGAGTTCATTAAGACTTGTATTCTCTTCAAGAGCTTCAGCGAGCTTTACGATTCCTTCAGGGCCGATGGAGTTAGATTCAAGGCCAAGCTTGGTGAGGTATGGTTTATCAACAAGGCTCTCTGCCAGAGCAATGGCTCCTCCTTCAGAGATCCTATTGTTACTCAATCCTAGCTTCGAAATGAAATCTTTATTTTTAAGTGCTTTAGCAATAGCAATTCCTCCTTCTTCATTAATCCCATTGCTGTAAAGGTAGAGCTCCTTCAGCTCTGTATTTTCTTCAATAGAAGGGGCCAGACCTCTGATAGCTTCTGATGAAAGTTGGCAATTGCTCAGTCCTAAGATTTTTAACTTGCTCTTATTCGATAATCATTGGCAGAGATCAAGGCCTCCATTCTCGCTCAGATCGTTGTAGCTCATGAAGAGATCTGTTAGCATGGTATTGTCTTGTAATGCCTCAGCAATCACCTGGATCCCTTCATCAGGAATGTTGTTATTAGAGAGATATATTTGAGTCAAGTTCTTATTTTTCTTGATAGCCTGAGCCAAGGCTTGGGCACCTTCAACCGATACATTATTTTTGACTAGCACAATCTTGCTAACTGGAATCTTTTTGAAAATATCAGCGATAATAGCTGCTCCCTCTGCACTAAATCGATTGTTATCAATATCAAGGTTCTTGAGGAACTTCTTGTTTTCACAGCATTTTGCAATAGCTTTGGCTCCTTCTGTATCGATCACGTTGTTAGCGAGGTAAAGGTCGGTCAAAGTCTCGTTCTTTTCCAAAGCTTTCATCAATTTTACTGCCCCAAGACTTGAGATGTTATTATCACTAAGAGCGAGGAGGGTGATGAACTCCTTTCCTTTCAAGCAAGTTGCGAGGAGCTGGGCTCCTTCATCCCCGATATTATTACCACTTAGATTAAGCTCTTTCAAATTTTTCGAGTTTTGAAGTACGGCTTGGATTGCAACGACACCTTCTGCATCAATCTCGTTCTGCTTCATGATGAGGACTTCAAGGTATTTCTTGTCTTCAAGGGCCTCGCCGATGGCGACGGCTCCTTTAGTCATGATATTGTTGTTAGAGAGCCAGAGCTCAGCTATGTACTTCTTGTTTCCTAGGCACTCAGCCAGCTCAAGGGCTCCTTCAATGTCAATGAAGTTATTGTTCATATAAAGCTCGGTTAAGGCGGCATTTCCCTTGAGTTCCTTCATTATGGCAATGCACCCATCCGTCTGGATCCTATTATTGTTGAGATCAAGAATCGAGAGATTCTTTTTGTTCGAGAATATTGGGGACAGAGCTCTTGCTCCATCCTTCCCGATATTGCAGTTTGATAAATGTAAGTTCATCAGATTTGTGTTATCCATCAACCCATCTGCGAGAAGCATTGCACCTTCTGGTCCGATATTGTTGCCATCAATGAACAGCTTGACAAGCATTGATTTGTTAAGCAAGCAGGTCGAGAGGTCCTCAACAGACTCATGAGTCATCTTATTCTTTGAAATATTGAGTAAAGACAGATTCTTGTTTGAAATTATGCTTTCAAAAATGTACTTTAGGCCCTTATCAGAGATGTTGTTGTATCCGATGTTGAGCTTCTTTAGCTTAGACTTGTTCTGCAGCATATCTCCCAGGCTGTAAGACCCTTCATCGGTGATATTGTTGTTTTCGATGTAAAACATCTGAAGTGAAGTGTTCTTATACAGAGCTCTACAAATCGCCTCGAGACCTTCATCTTTGATCTTGTTATTTTCAAGGCAGATCTTCTTGAGGTTCTCCATCTCTTTAAGACACTTTGCTAATGCTTTGGCTCCTTCTACTTCGATATTATTGCTGTCAAGGTAGAGGTTGAGCATGCCAGTTGTTATTTTGAGCCCGCCAGCAAGGATGACCATCCCTTCACTTCCAAGATTGTTATTATCTATATTGAATATCCGAAGGTCTTGCTTATGCTTGAGTGCTGATCATATAGCTCTAGCTGCATCTTCACCCTTAAGATAATTATTATCTAAGAACAGCTGGTGTAACCTGACGTGGGTTTTTAAAGATTCTCCTAACTTCATTAAACCGGATGCTCCAAATTGGTTCTCGCCCAGGTCTAGGGACCTGAGTTCCTTCTTAAGGCTGATGCCCTCGGCTAGGGATTCAGCAACCTTGTCTGTCACTTGGGATCATCTGAGGTTGAGGCCCTCTAATTTGTCAAGATTTTTGAATGTTTTGGCAATGTCTCACATTGTATCCTCATCGACAGTGTTATTTTCCATTGTGATATGCATCAGTAGTCTTCTTTCAAGTATCTCAGTCACTATTTCTTCACCGAGTTCTTGGTCAATATCTTCATCTTTTACTGTATAGGTAGGCCCGATCTTTGATTGACTTCCCTTTGTGCTCTTCTGCATTCTAGATTCTGGATTAAAATTTTATTAACTCAGCTGCGATGAAAATATTTGGGGTTTTGGGGTTTTGGGGTTTTGGGG